AGGGGAAGACAAGACCCAGGAGGCAGGAGGTAAGACCTGATGGAAGCAGGGCAAGTACTGAGAGGTCTGCAAGAGTTGAAGACCTCGGAGGCAAACACTGTTCTAGACCCACTCCTGCCATGGCGGTGACCTAAGAGACGGAGCTTGGATAAATACAAAGGCTGAACAGGTGTGGGTAGGAAAGTGGGGGTACACAAATATTTGCCAGAGGATAGTTATATATATATATATATTTTTGTTGCAAATATATCCATAAATGTGGTGGAGCTTACAGGAGAAAACATTATGAATTCTTCTTAGACATAACAAAATTCCCTAATAGAATGAGTTGTGAGAGCTGGGATCAGGCCTGTAGTCTCAGGGACATTGAACTCTATCGGCCTAACCTATTTCACAAAGATAATGTCCTACATCCTACTTGGGTGAATGGCGACTGAGGTCTTCATGCTTGTGAGCAGACATGTGAGATGCAGCCATTGTAGACCAGACCATGTACACGGGTACAGATAGAGCTCACAACTCAGGGAGTCCAGGACAGATAAACCCCTCAGGACCAATAATGAGAGTAGTGATACCAGGAGGATAAGGGGAAGATGGGGGGAGAAAGGGGAAACCGATCACAATGATCGACTATAACCCCCTCCCAGGGGATAGACAACAGAAACATCAGTGAAGGGAGACAGCGGATGATGTAAGATATGGGGAAAAAAATTCACAGATCATCAAGGGTTCCTGAGGAGAGAGGGTGGAGGAGGGTGGGAAAATGAGCTGATACCAAGGGCTCACGTAGAAAGAAAATGTTTTGAAAATGATGATGGTAACATATGGACAAATGTGCATGACACAATGGATGGATGTATGGATTGTGATAAGAGCTGTAAGAGCCCCCAATAAAATGATAAAAAATAAAAAAAAGATGCAGCCATTAGTCTCTCTCCATTCGGAAGAAAGGGGAGTGATTAAAATAGAAAGACATATGGAAACAATTAGTTCAATAGACAAACAGACAATGCAAACAGTGATCTTCATGACCTTGAGACCCCAAAATTAGGTGGCTCCTAGCTATCCTTACCAACTGCTCTGAGAGGGGTCTCTTTAGAAGGGCCTGGGTAGAAACAGGTGGGAGGAAACTTAAAATCAGAAAGATACAAGTGGAGCTCCAAAACTGTGGCTGTGTGAGTCTGGGTAGACTAGAGAAACAAATCCATGGGCACACATATGCGTATAAGAAAGAGATTTATATACAAGAGCAACCGAACATTGAGAAAACATTCCAACCCCGCCCAGATCAAGTCCATAAGTCTGATATTAGCCCAAATGTCCAACACCAATCCAGAAAGTCCTCTTCAGACTCACGACACATACAATGACGCTAAATGTAGAAGATCACAGGCCAGTGGGTAGAAAGCCTTTGGATCCAGTGGCATTGGAAACATCTCAGCGCTGGCAGGGGTCTCTGCATGGCTTCTCCAGCACCCAGGCCTGCATCAAGGCGGGTCCATGTGTCTTGTCAGCTGCTATGTCTCCAAGGGTGTGGCAGAGAGTCTCCCACCTCTGAGGAGGAAAGTTCAGCAATTCCCAGCATCCTTAGGGGAAGGCCATGCCCACACAGATCTCATTGGCCGCATCCTGATTAACAGCCTAGACTCCACCCCTACACTCTTAATCCTCAAATTGAAAATTATGTAACTACCACAATGGTCCTTAACCCTTCACACCTAGAACTGAACTCACCGCTGTGGTCGAATAAATAACCATTTATGAGCCAAAAGGCAGCATCTTCCCAAGGCAAACTCCCAAGGGTTAGGGAAAAAAGCAGAAAGGAAGCACAGGAAGGACATGGGATTAAGTCCATCGAAGGGGTTGCAAACAAGGAGTTGACATCAAATGAGTGTGAGTTGTTGAATGTCAGCCGGATGATCTGCTCCCTAAGCCTTCTCCTAATTCACAATACAAGAGTGCTCTCGCTTGTTTCTGCTGACAGCGTGCTCTGACTCAGGGTGACCTGGTGGGCGGGGCACAACATTCTCGGGTCCCGTGCCATCCTCACCCTCTTGGCTATGTTTGTATCCGTGGTTGTAGCCATCATGCCAACCCTTCTCCTGCAGGCCTTGCTCAATTCCACTGACGAGTGGAACTTAATGTCTTTTCTTTCTTTAAAGATCGCTACTTATGTGAGCAAGAGAAAGTCCCCTCATTCTTGCTTCCAAGGAGCATTCTGATGATCTGGGATAGATGTGTTTGTTCTGCTGACAGCTCCCAGAATGTCCAATACTATTTTTTTTGCAGCACCACAATGTTCTCTCTCTTCCCTTTCCATTGTCATCGTCTGAAAAGACCCGGTCTGGCTTAGGCAGGAGCCCTTAGTCATCACAATGCCACTGTGTTGACTACCTTGGAGAAGAGTAAAGGAAGGCCAGTAGCAGGCAAGGAAATCCCTGCTCGCCCACGACACCAGCAGCAGAGCTGGGATTTCAACAGTGTGTTTTCCTGATACCACCCCAGGGTGCATGGGAGGACCTGGGACCATACATGGAGGCATACTCCCCGGCTTTGAATTCATGAAGTCATTTGAAGAGGTTCAGGAAAGCATGGATCTAGAAGATCACACCTACAATGTAAGAGATTGTTGAGAAGAAGGTGAGACATTACACAGCCAAGTTGGCATAAAGGACTGTTATCTGAGCAATAGCTCTGGGGGTGTCACGGGTTAAAGAGTGTGGTCAGCGATTCGGACCTACCAGTCTGTCCGAGAGAAAAGACGTGGCCCTCGGCTCCCTTTAAGGTGACATGTTCTGTAAAACCCTCTGGGGCTGTTCTGCAGTGTCGTGCAGGCTCGCTGTGAGTCAGAATAGACTCGATGACACACAAGTGACTAACAGTACAGGAGGCTGGGGATTATCCCAAAGTGGCCCTGAAATCACCAAAAGCCTGCCAAGCCCACCCCATGCCCTTGACTGCCCGGTTCAGACAGCTGGGAGCCATGAAACCACATCAGGGTCCTTCAGGATGGCAGGAGTGTGTGGTGCAGAGAGGAGAGCCTGCTGTCAAGCACAGGGAGAGAGAACAGTAAATCATACACCTGGAAGGCGAATGCCATTGATAAGTTCACAGTGTTTATTCTTTGGTTGGCTTGAGTGTGTACAGAGAGGACTGGGGTTCACGGGGCCCAGGAGGACAGAAACCTGCAGGGAGAGGCCGAGCTGACCCTTGTGAGGGGCCTATGTGGGGGGTAAGAGATATGGGGAGAGGACTTCACCATGGGAACTTTCTGAGGCCCCCCGAAAAGAGAGCCGCGGCGTCATTAGTGGGTGTTATTTATCCCACAGCCTCCAGCCCAGCAGCCCTAGGAAAGGCCTAAGTGAAGGGCGACTGCAAACATCGCTCGGCTTCCAGGTCGTTCTTCCACTGCGTTCCTGTCTGTGCCGGTTCATAGCGACCCTTTCGGCCAGAGTAGAACTGCCCCTGGGAGTTTCCAGGACTGTACCTCTTTAAGGGAGTAGACAGCCCCATCTATCTCCAGAGGAGAAGCTGGTGGTTTCAAACTGCTGACCTTATGGTTAGCGGCCCAACACGTAACCACTACACCACCAGGGCTCCTTCAAAATAAACTCTAGAAATGAGAGCTGCCTGGGCAAAGAATGGGAGGTGCTGATGGGGGAAGGGTCCCAAGAAAAACTTTGCCGAGGTGGCAATGCTGCCCATCTTGACTGGGTGAGGCTTGCAGGTGGGGAGCGCACGTCTTTAGCAAAGTTCATACAGCCATGCGATTAAAATTGTACATTGCGTTTTATACTATTAGATGCACATTTTATCTCACAAAGTTGATATTTTAAAAATGACTACAACACAGAGGTGTAACTGGCAGGTGAAGGGGGGTTAGGCGCTAAGGGGTCCGGGACACGGCAGCAGGTGGGGAAGCACAGAGTGGGCTGGGGCTGGGGAGAAGGCAGAGACTCTTAAGGAGTAGCAGGGCTTCCCTCTGCAGAGTCAAGGCAAACACTGGTCCATGAGTTAAGTAAAGGGGTCATCGTCAGAGAAGGCAGTGCCTGCCTCAAAGGTGGGGGCGTAGGAAAGAACGTGAGACATCGTGTGATATGTGACCTGTTGGGGAAGGTGGCCCATGGATGGCCATGGCCCTAGTAGTCAGGTAATATGCGCACGGAGGATCCCTTCGTCTCTCAGCAGGGCTTCCTGCATGTAGCATCACACACATGTAGCATCACACAGGGGCTGGTGTATCTCGCCCTGCCCCAAGGTCACAGGGAGGCCACTTCCATCTTGACTCCTGTGTCCCTTGCCCTCCTCAGACAGAGCTCAGCTCTCCCTGGGGAGAAATACTTCATGGGGCACGTGTTCCCATAGGCCCTCCCACGCCCTCTTGGAACGTTTTATTTCCAAAGATAGTGAGTTTCCCTCCTTTGCCCTTGAAGCCAATTCCTCTCTACTGAGCCTCTGCTGGATGGACTGATCCTGTGTGGCCCCACAGAGAGACTGGCGCGTGGACCTGCGAGCTGGCACCCCTGGGGCATTTGTGGAGGAGTCCTGGGAGGACATTGGGTGGGAGGGTGCTTCCCAGGGCCCTAAAGACCAGCCAGCCTAGGGAGAGCCCCAGCAGAGGGCCAGGACTAGAGACCTCCTAGGTGGGAGCTCAGGGACCCTCCGTGGCCAGTCGGCCTCCCCCTGCGCTTTGTGAGTAACGAGTTCAGAGAGTATTTGTGTCTGGGTAGACCGACGTCTGTCCAGAGCCTGTGCCCCGCCAGAGACTGACAACGCAAAGCAAAGCATCAGGGGAGTTTATTTATGTAAGCACTGACAGGTTGGAGACTGAGACCAACTTGGGGTGCGGGGGAGCTCCCAGAAGGTCAGGGGGCAAAGGTCACAAGGGAAGCATAGAGCTATGCAGGGGTCCAAGTCTCAGGGAGGGGCAGCTCCAGGCCTGAGTGGTGCACAGAAGGCAGCCATGGGGGCATCTGGAGCTGGCCCTGGGGAGTGCCTGGTCAACAGCAGCATGAGGTGCCACAGCAGGCCGGGCGGGGACACGCAGGGCGGCAGAGCAGGGACATGGAGGAGGAGGCTGGGGCACAGCAGGCGGGCTTGCACACAGGCTGGCAGATGAGGGACATGCAGGAAGAGGGTTTGCAGCAGGAGGGGCCACAGGGCTGGCAGCAAGAGGATGAGCAGGGGCCGGCCCCACAGCAGACGGGCCTACAGCATACAGGTGTGCAACAGACAGGCCTACAGCAGACAGGTGTGCAACAGACAGGCTTGCAGCAGACAGGTGTGCAACAGACAGGTTTGCAGCAGACAGGTGTGCAGCATGCAGGCTTACAGCAGACAGGCCTACAGCACACAGGCTTACAGCAGACGGGCCTACAGCAGGGGCAGGATGAGCAGCTCATAGGCTGACAGCAGGAAGGCCCACAGGAGCTGGCACAGACTGATTGGCAAGGGGTGCAGACCAGAGTCAGGCAAGGGGCTGGGGCACAGCAGCTGGGGGCACAGCAGGAGGACTGGCAGGAGGAGGGGGCACAGCAGGAAGACTGGCAGCAGCTGGGGGCACAGCAGGAAGACTGGCAGCAGCTGGGGGCACAGCAGCAGGACTGGCAGCAGCTGGGGGCACAGCAGGAGGGCTCACAGTAGCTCTCAGGGCAGTCGTCCACCTCCCAGGAGGAGCTGGTGCAAGACTCAGTGGAGCCAGGCAGGCAGACTCGGCTGCCATAGCTCAGGTCACTGGAGCAGACGGACATGGTGGATGCGGCCATGGTGTGTGGATGAAAGAGGTGGTGAGAGGGATGAGTGAAGGAGGGAGAGACTGAATGAGTGAGTGAACAAATGAGTTGCTCTGGGACTTTTATACCCCTCTGTGTTGTGTGTTGTCCCACCGGAGGCTGCATGATGCTCTTCCCCTTCCTGCTTGGTGTCCCAGTCCGCTCCACGGCCTCAACAGGGATGTTTGTTTGATGGGGATGTTGTTCAGCCTATAAACTCTAGAAGGGGTCTGAGCCTCAGTGCCCTGCTGGGATCTGTGGCCCCACGGAAGTAGGAGCAGGGAGCCTGGTTCTAGCCTGGTTTCATGGGCAGGGGGTCACGGAGGGCAGCGGAGGGTGGCGATGTCCTTCTTCCTGCTTCATGTGCTCAGAACATGGCCCAGTCAATAGCCAAACCAAAAAACCACAATCCCTCAATGCCCTCAATTCCACTGTGGCTCATAGCAACCCTGCAGGACGGAGCAGAACCGCCCCTGCTGATGAGACTGCAACTCTTTACAGCAGAAGAACCCCAAGTGCTTCTGCCCCTGACAGGCGGGTGGGGTGCAACTGCTGACTTTGTCCCTAGCAGCCTAACATAGCCCCAACGCCACCGGGGCTCCTCCCAGTCCGCAGTGGACATCTATATGAATCCAAAGTTCTGCTAAGTGCTTTCCCAATGGGTTAAACACCAATAGGGTGGGTGTTCTTTATCCCCTGTAAAGACCAGGTCATTGCCACTTTGTGAAGGGAGACCTCGAGCTCCGGACCACAGTTTATGACTATACCTTAATATCTTGACCTGGAACTCTGAATGCTTTCTCACGGCCAAGGCCTCTCTCTCTCTGGGCCTGGCTCAGTGTATCCATTATCTCCGCGGCCCTTCTGCTTGGGAGAGAGCAGGAGCTCTTCGTATTCTAGGCCATGTTGGGCACGGTTGGCACCCCCCATAGTCAGACACAATGATAATGTCTTGGGCCTTTGGTTTTGGGTTTCTGAATCACACCAGTGGCCGTGCTGGAGTGTAGGTGGGTGATTAGCCAGCATCAGGGAGGAACACATGATGGATAATTGACTCGTCATCGGAGACTGGATAAGGATAAGCTAGAGAGATTAAAAAAAAAAAAAAAAGATCCTAGAGGCCTAGCGTTAGGGGGACCCTACATATCCCTAAGTTTTCCCTCAAGGAGTTCCATCAGGGACTCTGTGTGCGAAGCTCAGAGAAAAAAATCACTTGAGTTCGCAGCAGGAGGAAAGGAAAAATAACCACTTAAAATGTGCCCAGTGTATTCTGTCCTCCTTATTAAGGGGCTGTCCTCAAAGAAAATTATTTTCCCAGAGCCTAATCCACGTGAAAGAAAGGGAACCCCCAAGTGCAGGCCCCGCTAACCGTCCTGACTCACCTCAGGGGTGGGGGAAGATGCCGAGAAACACTTGAGACAGTCCCAATCAGGGGCACAGGCTCGCCACCCCAAAACCGAGACTTAAACATATAATCATAAATGACTTCTGCTTCCACATTGTACTGTCCTATCAGTGGGGCGCCTGTGTAAACGGAGAGATTACAGTTGAAGCGAACGGAAAAACTCCACACTCAAAAAATGCATCTTGCCAGCACCTACGCCTATGCTTATGTTTTTAGTCTCTCTCTCTCTCTCTCTCTCTCTCTCTCTCTCTCTCTCTCTCTCTCTCTCTCTCTCTCTCTTTCTCTCTCTCTCCTAATAACGGAATTTCTCCACGACCCTTCCCCAGTGTTCTCAATCATCTCCACATCTCTGTAGATTTCTATATGGGCTTGTGTGTTTAGGTTCTGTTGGTGTCCCACACCACCAACTTTGTGGCTCAGAACAGCCCACATTGAGTATCTCTCAATCTCTGTGGCTCAGGAGCCCCAGTCACAGACTGGGTTCTCTGCAGGCCTCTCATGAGCGTCTTTCATCTGAGATTCAACGAGGGAAGGATCTTTCCATGCTCATGTGGATGTTGACAGGAGTCTGTTCTTTACAGGTTGTTGCGATGAGGACCTCAGTCTTGGCCGCCTGTTGGCTGGATGCTGCCCTCAGCCCCTTGCCGGGCAGCCTCTGCCCCACAGGGAGCTCACAATCAGGGGGCTCACAAGACAGGCCTTGGGCTTACATAATGTAATCCCATACATATTTAATGGTGATTCCCATGACCATGGGTGTATTCTATGTAGCTTCTTGCAAGTCACAGGAGCCTCCCACATGCAAGGACAGGACACCGCCCAGACCATGAACTCCAGGAGATGGAGAGCATAAGAGTCACTCTAAAGTCTGTTTCCCATGGTCCTGTTGGCGGACACTCACGGCTGTGATCACTGGACACATACAGTCAGTTGTCAGTACTCACTGAGTTAGAATTCCAGGTCTACCACGAAGGGCGTGCAACAGAGCAGCAAGGGGAGCAAAGCAATGAAGTCCCTGAGGAATCCCAAAATAGACTTCAGGGGCAAGGCTTGGCACCTTATCAGACTCAATCGGAAAACATCCATAAAAGTCAACAGACAGACCCCCCCCCCATGTCTATCTATATAAGATATATTGGATAAACACTCCTGAGGAGAAAATAATGGGGCCAACAGCTCCAGTGGGATATAGGAGAGGAGGAGGTGGGGAAAGGGGAGTGGGAGTCTAGAAAAGCCAGGGACAAGGGAACAAGAAGGGATCTAAAATCAATA